TTAGCGGACCGGCCGCTTCCTCCTCGCCCTCCCAATACATCTCAACCGTACGCACACAAAAAAAAAAAAACATTTCATAGAACTTTTCATCTGCAAACACGACATCCTTGTAGATAACTTATTCATCTTTAGCTAGTAGCTCATCTAAGCTCGAAGAATCTGAACGGCGACGCTTATGGGATTGACGCTGGATGCTTGGCCTTGCAATTCGCCGAGACTGCCCAGATGTTCTTCTGGCAGCTCACAGCGCGGAAGAAAAACTTGTGATCGGTGGAAGAAGCGGTCGTCAGCTGCACATAAGTTCTTGCCTCCACACAATGATCCGGCCATGTCGTTCCATAGGTGCACAAAGTAGTGGTGCCGGGGCAATCCAGTCACCACCTCCCAGGAAAGATCTTGGGCTGCGAAAACAAGCGTCTGTCCGGCACCACCGGGCGAGCTTAAGATCACCTGCTTGTGAGAAGATTTCGTGGGTGGAGAACGCAGCATTGGTGCTGCGAAGCTCCATCGATTCTTGCGAAGACGCTCACCGATTTGCAAGGAGATAGAGTTTGGGACCCAGAGCCCTGCACTCGAATCCTCCCGTGTTGGGCTCATCCTGGCGAGCAAGTACCAGCAATGCACATTCTGCTATCACATATGCCCACTTTGGGCATCTTGACGAGGCGATCAAGGTTTTCCACTCCCCTTCTCTCGGAACATCCTATTACGGGTCCTTTGCGAAGAAAATCGCGTTGCTGATGCGAGGAAAGCCAGGACGTGGTGACCTGGACGACAATAGTGAGCACATATGCCCCGATTGGGCATAATGACGAGGCAAATGCCGCAACGAGCTGTTCTGGCTTGGCTCGGGCCGAGACATGCATCACGCCAGCCAAATCTTCTTTGGGATGCCCCAGTGCGATGATGGTTTAGTCTCTACGTGTTCTCCCAACGGACTCCATGCCCACAATGGGGATATGGAGCAAGCAACTGCATTGTTCGATAGGATACTCATCAAGGATGACAGAGTCGCGGGGGATGTTCTTTAAGGTGCATGGAATCCCTCGTGATTCATCTCTTTGGAACTCGCATTTCCTGATCCTCCGCCGAGAGGATTCTTTAAGATGACGGTGGAGGCCGTGGTGATTCTATCACCTCGCGGTCCCGATCGAAGAGCTCTTGAGACGGTGACACTGAAGACTTGGCACTGGCTGTGTTTCGCAGTCCACAGCGGGTGCTTACCGGTTCTTATGACTTCAAGCACCGAGCAGTGCCGGGCCCGAGACGGCTGTGCAGGCCTCTGCAACTTGCTCCGAGTAGCCGATCTAGGATCGATCATTCATCGTCTTGGAGACCTTGCAAAGTTCCACAGGAACATTAGCGTCCGAGAGAATAAGAAAACAGGCCACCTGTTGCTCGGACAAGCGATCCCCTGGACCCTTGACTTCAGCCAGCTTCGCCTCTTTCTCCTTCCACAGCAGAAGATCAGGCATTCCAGCCGTCCAGTTACTGTGGTCTTCTGCAAGAAGCTTGCAAATCACCGACAATCCTGGACCTCCGATACAGACCGTTATTGTTTGAAGGTCTTCAAGCGAGTACTTCTCCCAGTTTACCCCGCTACATGATGTCCCGTAGTGCTCTGCCCAAGTCTCAGCCACGAGTTGCCTAGCTCCGCCATCGCGTATGGCTTGAAGACGAGATTCAATAAGCGAGCTTCGGACTGGATAGAATGAATCCGTGCACAAGTCCAATGGTGCAGTCTGCAAACAAGAACTGTAGAGCAACCACGAGAAAATGAAACAAGAACCTGAAAAGGTGTCTGGAAGACATCTGGAACGTCTGAAATGGACTCCTTTCCAGCCGCCTCCATCTTCTCCGGCATAGTATTGAAGTGCCAGGTCCTCCACACTGCATTGTTGCCCATCGTAGCCATAAAATCTGCTCTTCATTCCATTGGCATTGTTTAGCGGCCTTCCCATAATCGTCACCTTCAGAAACAGAGTTGTAGCTGAAGGCCAAATATCTGGAAGACACAGTACGTACCACCTTGTGTTTTTTCTTTAAAAGCGCTGCATATGGAGGTACTGTCCACCTTCTAGGAGGTTTACCTAGTCGGAGAACCCTCCGTTGCAAAGCGATACGATCCCCTCCTCGGACGTTGAAATCGTTTAATCCGTTTTCTGCAACGAGCAGGCTCTCTTCTAAACGCTGTAAGTGCTCCAAGTCAATAGATTGCCGGAGAGTCCAGTATCCTCTCCGTCCAGGACAATACTGCATGCTAAGGAGCTGCTTGAAGAGGTTTACAGCTTCAGCGTATCTGTTCAAGAGCCAGTTTTCGTTCAAAAGCATTGTCCGCCATTGGTGAAAGAGCGTACCTGCGTTCTTTCTCCAGAAAAGATGCAGCCACAGTTGTTGCATACACCCATGCAGCCGAAAATCGTGCTAAAAATGGATGCTTGATCTCGGTGTGTGCATTGATCAATTCGAGTGTAGTCCTTGCTTTTCGAAAGGAGGAGTTTACAGCCTCAGAATTACCAGCTTCCAGGGATCCAATTTCCTCCAAAGTAATGATGGAATGGCCATCAACCACCTGAGCCAATTACAATGCCTGAAAACTCGACGGTCAGACAAATTTTATAACAAAGTAGGAACGGACCTGCTCATACGCCAGAAAGTCCTCTCGAGAAGAAAAAACTGGCATTGTTCTAGCGCACCTATAGCCTGGATACTTGATCCTTCCAATATCCACAAGAAGAAAAACATGGAACTCCTGCTCACCGTTTAGAAAGAACAGCCTCTGAATAAATAAATAAATAAATAAATTGCTCAGCAGTGTAACACTTTGGAGAAGATGTCAACTGACCTGTAAATGCCAAAGTAGAACTTCAACTGTTTCGGCTATTCGAATGCATGGGCCGGTTGCTTCACGAATTAAAGCCGTTAGATTACTGCCGCCAAGTATTTCACGCTTGTATAAAAAACCAATGATCACTTGCTACTTACAAATGCAGCGAAATCAATGCATCTCGAATTGCTGTAATAAGCTGAATCTTTTTCAAACTTAGCATAGCACTTTTGATCTGTAAGCAGGAACAGAAATAAAAACAAGGAAGAAAGTCTTAGAAGTAACTACCATGATTTTGCTGTTAACTGCCAAATCTTTGAGCTCCCGTACAGTCAGATGTTCAAGTAACTCAGACGAATTCACGTCACGTCGAAAACTAAGTAGCGTCCCTCTGTTACAAGGGAGCAAACATATTATGAAGTACACGATGAAAGAAATTGAGTACCGACTAAATCATGGACTGCAGAGTTTGTGTCACCAATATTTTCATAGAAAATGTTCTGAAGACGGAACCATGGCCCTGCAAAACCACTGTCTCCCTTGAGTCATAGTTTGTCCGACGGCGTTTAGCTTACCCTTTCGTTGAGCCAAGGCGCTGTCCATCAGACGAGATTGAACGAAATGCCTCGAGAAGTTCGATCTCGTCTGGAGTAAAGAGATGGAGATCCCGTTCCAATACCACTTGGAGCATGTAGAGAAAATTCTGTTGGTATTGACAGCCGCGGTCTTGTCCCTTATCAGCTGCATCCATCAGACGGCTCCATTTGACAGCCAGCACTTTTTCTTCTGAGAGACTTCCAATAGTCCGATTCTGGATCTCACGCAAATCAAGCTTGAGGCGTGCAGCTTCCAATGTACTCTCGGAGACATATCCCTGAACGCTTTGTGAACAATTGGAAAACGCCCCAGAGATTAATTACCTGAACGTCTACCACGCCTTTTTCCATGAGAGGAGACAAATAACGCTCTGCTGGAAGGACGCTGTTGGCCACGTCGGGCTCCTCAAAGCATTCAAGAGTAGAAGAAACTTCCGGTTTCGGAGACCCTGCCGCCGTGTTACAGTCGACCCCAGTCTCGAGCGGAGGAGACTGCTGGATTTCTAGTACGCAGTTTCCACTTTCCTCGTACTCTATCTTTTTCGACAAGTTGAAGTGAAAGAGTGTATGCTGGACATTGTTCTTCTTTTTCTTCCCACTTTGCAGGCAAGTATCTGGACAAGAGACACCATCGATCAGCGTGCTTGAATCAAAACAGAGCAAAATCCAAACCAAGATGGCAGTTGACGAGAAGTTCATTCCCGCGTATTTGCTTCCCACACACAGGGCATTCCACCCAGTCACAACAAGCTAAGCTCAGGCCTCCTTTTATTTCCAGTGAAACATCACCGCACTCCAACTCTTCCTGCAGGAAAACGATCACAGATCCACCGAAGAAATAGAAGCTCGATCACTCACCCGAGCTGGGAGTGACACATTGCGCTGCCGCTTCCCAACAAGCCGAATCAAGCTCTCACGGCCCCGGAGCATTGCTGAGATTACCGCATTGAACACCGCCGAGCTGTGTGTAGGACGCTTCCTCTTCGCAGTCACCTGTATTACAAGCAAAGTCAAGGTCAAAGTCAAGGTCAAAGTCCTTCAAAGTTCGTTACAAGCAAAGTCAAGGTCAAAGTCAAGGTCAAAGTCCTTCAAAGTTTGGTCACCTGTATTACAAGCAAACACAAAGAGATCTTCTTAGCGTGCTTCGACCAAGGGGAGAAGTTAATATCTACACGGCACTTCAAGACTATGAAGTCAATATAAATCGC